AAATTAGATAACGGCAAAATATGACTAATTGCTTGCTATCAAATTAAATAAGATATAAATAAATTCCAAAAATAAATTAATTGGCGGTGAATTTCAAATGCTACTTACATTAACCAAAAACTTTAATTTGTGCTTCAATCATCTAAATGAAATACAAAAAAATGAATTCATATCCATTTTTAATTAATTTGGATATTTTTTCTTAATTCCTAATTAAAACGCTCCAAAGTTCTCCTTAAGTCTTTCTAATCAAACGTTATGGTTACGAATACTTAATTGGATACGTACTACTTGAGGTGTTGGTTTGGGACTGTTTCAATCTTCTCAACATTTCAGCGATGAGAAATTTTGTTAACAGCTTCAAAACCAGCTTACTAAGCGAAAGGGAAAAACAAAACCTAACTGACTACTGGAAAGCCCAAAAAGGCATGCGGCAGTCAAAACTGTTTATTATCCCAAAACATATAAAGACTGAAGCTATTCTGAACTTAAGCTGAACAGATGTCAAATTCTACGCGTAACTGCTAACAGGCCACTGTACACTGCGATACCATCTGAAAAGATTATTCTAACAGAAAACGATTCCTGCCGACTTTGTCAAGAGCAACAGGAACCAACAGAACACGTTCTTTGTGCCTGCCCAGGCGTGACAAGACGAAGACTTAACTATCCAAACAGTGGAGTTTTGAGCCCTAAACGCGTAGTTAAGATATGGCTCACAGTTGTCATAAAATTCTTCAAAAATTTGTAATTGGACTAGTTGGGCGTAAGGTTGTACTAAGTTTTTTCACGTCTATCACCTCTGCATGAAACATACTGCAATTATAAGTTCTGTAAGTTATATACAGAACTTATGTATATATAAGATTTTGACGTTTAGTTTGAATCTGTAAGTTTGAATTTAAACTATGTTTGCAAAAACTACTCTACTAAGAATTTATTTATATTTGCTTGAAATGCGACAGTCAAACCTCTCTCGATGCGGTTTGAGTATGAACAGGCAAAATCAATCAACCTGGGGAGATGGTAAATTCTGGCTTAGTGTACTTACGTGACCTGTTTTAGCAACTTACAACTTTTCACTTTGTTGTGTAAATAATTTTAATAGTTTTTATATAATTCCTCTATTGCATCGAGATATTAATAAAAAATTCGTAGACGAAGAGTTTTCATTTCTGTAGCATATGGGATTTATTTCGTGTTCATTTTTCTACTATAGAAACATCGAAGAAAATTTTACTGTTGTTTTCCTTAACTGACAATTATCTTGCATATTTTATTACTTATTCCTCTAAACTATCTCTAAGGGAGCCACATACTCTTATCCATTGTGTACATCTTCCTATAATTTTTTTTATTATTTTACGATAACTAGAAACCTCAACTCGGAAAAATTTGATTAATTGTTCGATACAAGTTTGTTTTATTTGATTGGATCTTTCGATACCCCCAAACTTTTTGTTTCTCTCTCGTTAAATCTAATTAAAATCTTAATCACTAATTCGTGTAAAACGTTTTTTAAGTTATGCTCAGAATTGTCTATCAATACAGCTTAGCTTGATAGGTGACATATTTAGGAGGAAACGAATAGATCGCTCTCTCGGCAATGTAATACATGGTATAAAAATTTAGTGAACTGCAAAAATATTCTCAAAAAAGAAATATTTCCAAGTATATCTACCCTTGACACAATCTTAACCACACCACCGGGCTTGTAATATAGCTTAGAATTCCACCTTATTTTTGGTTTCTATTATTTTCTCCATTACAATGTTGAATAGCAATGGGCTTAAAGAATCGTCTATGCAATTCATGAAGCTCTGATTGCACAAACAGACTTTACATTTTTTGTTCACTATTAGAAATTCATTTTGTGTTTCTTATTGGCATTACTCCTTCTAAAATTCCTTTGGTTATTCGACTGGCTGCTGTTCGGATTTTACGATGCCGCGCGTCATTTGCTTTTATTGCACGCAAAGCTTTTACTCACCCAAATAAGGAAGATTCGCAATAAAAGCACATATTTTTCAGCCATTTTTCCATGTTTTTGTTGATGAAAAAGAAACTTATTTCAATCGTCAAAAATAATGACGCAGAGCGAACATACACAGCTTGGGGAGCGGATTGAATGTCATCAAAAATGGATTTATGACGGATAAGATATTTTCCAACGGTGTTAGTTTTGCATGGGTATGGAATTTTGAATGCTTTGTATCACTTCTGGCTGGTATCTGGTTACGGCTTATACGCTTCAGTTGCTGTTCATCTCTTTACTGTCGATGTCGATGTTGTCGTTGTCATTCCTATTCCTACTGTTGTTGCTGCTACTGTTTTTGTTGTTTATATTGTTGTTGTTATCGAATTGTCGGACCGATGTTAGCACTTCGATTGCGTTTTTATGAGTTGATGTTAAAAATGCCATCACTTAGTCAAATTTTTCGATATTTTCCCATTGTAAAATAATATATTTTGCTTTTCATAAAAACATAAATTGAATGTGTTTATCATTTTTTAAAGTTTTCGATTAAAATTCGTCGAATCATTTAATTTAATCCATTTCATATCTTTTGTTAATAAAATAACTCAAACTGAAATGTGTTGACGTTTATACTAATATATTATCAGTAAATCATAAATTTAAATAAATGATTATTGACATCTTAAAAACTGTATTTCAACTTATCATATTAAAAATGAGATAATAAATGGAAAGTGTGACTAAAGAATTTATAGTGAATTTCGAACACACTACTATGTATAGAACTCACATGTCTACTCACTTCCAGAATAGTACTTCAAAAGTCGAAAACATTTAAGACTGGAATGCTCAATCTACAACAAAGTGCCTGCTCATAGAACTCATGTACCCACTCATTTATTATACAGAATAGTACTTCAAGAGTCGGAAATATTTAAGCCAGGAATGCTCAATCTGTAAAAAAGTGGCTGCTTATAAAACTCATATGCCTACTCACTTCCAGAATAGTACTTCAAAAATTGAAAACATTTAAGACAGGAATGCTCAATCTGTAAAAAAGTGGCTGCTCATAAAACTCATATGCCTACTCACTTCCAGAATAGTACTTCAAAAATCGAAAACATTTAAGACTGGAATACTCAATCTACAACAAAGTGCCTGCTCATAGAACTCATGCACCCACTCACTTACAGAATAGTACTTCAAAAGTCGAAAACATTTAAGACTGGAATGCTCAATCTATAACAAAGTGCCTAATATGGTGCACTTCATATGCACTTGCATATAGAATTTTGAATTTATGAGACCAAACTAAGCAATCATATGCAATGTGCGAACCTCGTCCATTAAAAAGTTTATTCAAATTTATATTACGATAATCAATTTTCGCGCATTGAACTCTTTAGTAAAAACATCCTCCTCTTATAAGGAGTGTTGGGACTGTTTGAAGCTTATTAGGAGGCTTAGAAGGAGAAGGCTTGAAGCTTATTATTATTAGGTAATATTTAAATATTGAAAACCAACTACAAGTCTTTTATATTTTAAAAACCTTTCCTAACTCCATTAATAAATATCTTTATATAAAAGTCGAGAAGGGTTCTGGATATGCTGAAAATCTAAAAAATGGAATATTGTCGCTATTGACTGTTTATGACTTTATATTATATTATTATATATGCATAAAAATGAATTAATCACAAAAACCTGATTCATTTTATTTCATTTTTATGGTGACGCAAAAATGGTTTTAATTTAAAACTATTTTTAAGTAGTTTTTCTTGATAAATTATACAATACTCTACAATTCATATAAGAAAAGTTCATTATAATAAAAAAAAATATATTTTTTAGATAAGAACTGTAAATTCATATACTGTACATGGAAAAAAACAAAAAAGACGTAACGTACAGGGAATTATTCATGTGGCAGCTGGTTTCTTCAGTGCTTGCGCCTAAAAGCTAACAATGTTTTTGTAAAATAAAAACATTAAAGAAAGACAGTAAGAAATTAAGTTAACAAACAACTGAAAGAAATTAAGAAAAATAATGAAATACATAGAACTGAATACAAAAAAAAAAAACAAAGGAACCACAACCCGTAAAAAAATTGAAATTTTTACAACAACCAATTAACGCAAAGTACTCTCCATGAGGAAAAAATTCTTTACTAAAATTCTTTGTAGACACATGCATAAAAACCGACATTCTCGTTTATATTCACCAAAAAAATTTTATATATAAAAATCCCAGTAAACATAAGTACTTATTTTAAGGTACTTTGTGAAAAAAAGGTTGATGTGAATAGAAAATAAAAGCTTATAGATTATTTTTTTTTTTTTTGTTTTTTCTATTGTATTAATTTT